TAAGTTTATTTTTTCAATGCCCAATACCTCTAAAATTGCCAAATAACGGTATAAATAGATATCTGTGCAGATGAATTATTGGCTCATATGATTTTTTCGGTATATAATAGGAATGTTTAGATCGCTTACTAGTAAGGACAGGTGTAGCATAATATTTTGATACCGCGATATATTGAACCCGGGTTCAAAATATCGCATAATATTTTGAACCCAGGTTCACTTTTTCGCTGCGATATATTGAACCTCCTTATAAAATATTGAACCCCTACCTTTTTCATTTAAGAGGTAGGGGGTTCAAAATATTATGGCCATAAAATATTGAGTCCCCCTGCCCATTTAATTTTACATCTAGGGGGGTTCAAAATATTATGGCCATAAAATATTGAGTACCCCTGCTTATTTAATTTACAGGGAGGGGGGTTCAAAATATTATGGCCATAAAATATCGAGTCCCCCTGTCCATTTAATTTATGAGGGAGGGGGTTCAAAATATTATGGCCATAAAATATTGAGTCCCCCTACCCTTTTAATTTTACAGGGAGGGGGGTTCAAAATATTATGGCCTTAAAATATTGAGTCCCCCTGCCCTTTTAATTGATGAGGGAGGGGGTTCAAAATATTATGGCCATAAAATATTGAACCCCCCTTTTTTTTTATTTGTGAGGGAGGGGGGTTAAAAATATTATGGCCATAAAATATTGAACCCCCTTGCCTTTTTGATTTAAGAGGGAGGGGGGTTCAAAATATTATGGCAATAAAATATTGAGTCCCCTGTCCATTTAATTTATGAGGGAGGGGGTTCAAAATATTATGGCCATAAAATTTTGAGTCCCCTGCCTTTTCAATTTATGAGGGAGGGGGTTCAAAATATTATAGCCATAAAACATTGAGTCCCCCTGCGCTTTTCATTGATGAGGGAGGGGGTTCAAAATATTATGGCCAGTGGAAGTGTGTAAGTGGGAGAAGGGTTTTAGATTATTTGCAGGCATATTATATCATAACTCCCTTTTCAAAACAGTTCAATATGGTGATTGAATAATTTATCGCCATAATATTTTGAGCCCCCTCCCTGTAAAATTAAATGGATGGGGGATCGAGGATGTTCATGGCCTATAAGAATTCCGTAACCCCCTCCCCTTAAATTTAAAGGGCAGGGGGAATCAATATTGTATGGCCATAATATTTTTTGAACCCCTCCTCCCTGTAAAATTAAATGGGGCAGGGGGATTCAAATATTTTATGGCCATAATATTTTGAACCCCCTCCCTGTAAAATTAAATGGGCAGCGGGATTCAATATTTTATGGCCATAATATTTGGAACCTCCTCCCTGTAAAAATAAATGGGCAGGGGGATTCAAATGTTATTTTATGGCCATAATATTTGAAACCCCCTCCCTGTAAAATTAAAATGGGCAGGGGATTAAAATATTTCATGGCCATAATATTTTGAAACCCCTCCCTCTTAAATTTAAGAGCAGGGGGGTTCAGTATTTTATGGCCATAATATTTTGAACCCCCTACCTCATCAATTAAAAGGGCAGGGGCACTCTATATTTTATGGCCATAATATTTTGAACCCCCTCCCTGTTAAATTAAATGGGCAGGGGGGTTCTATATTTTATGGCCATAATATTTTGAACCCCCTCCCTGTAAAATTAAAAGGGCAGGGGAATCAATATTTTATGGCCATAATATTTTGAACCCCCTACCTCTTAAATTAAATGGACAGGGGGACTCAATATTTTATGGCCATAATATTTTGAACCCCGGGTTCAATATTTTATAGGGGGGTTCAATATTTCGCAGCGATATTTTGAACCCGGGTTCAAAATATCAGGGGGTTCAATATATTATATGACACCGGTATGTTTCTTTGGATGTTCTGTCATTAGTTTTTAGAATAATATCTATGATGGACATCTTGAACATACAAGTGAGTCTTGCGTCATTCTTCAGCGTCATGCATTGCCTACAAAATCCGAAAATGGTGATATAGAGCCATTTCGGCGTTTTTTCGTAATTATTGTCGTAAAATGACATTTCCAGACCAATAGGGATTAAAGATAATCTTAATATTGTACTAAAACCAAAAATTTTGCAAAGGTGTACTGTCGCACAAATAACTGCATGAAATTAAAATGCTGCGCAAAGTCATGCGCACTTAAATTAGACTCGGCCTCATTAACTGTAGATTAAAGTTACCTTCATTAAAAGTAAGAGACTGAAAATCAGAACTCAGTTCCTCCACTACTGTACTGACAGCTGATCTGGAGGGATCCTGGTCAGTTTTGGGGGGTAGCTCTACTGTACTGACGGCTGATGGTGAGGGACTCTGGTCAGTTTTGGGGGTAATCCTCCTGGTCCTCACAATCCCTGGGGTCCCCTGATTGAGGGACAGCGGCCTGTGCTGGAGAACCTACAGTACTACTGTCAGATGTACGTCTATCTCTATCTGCAATATGACAGGTTATAATATACACTTATGTACTTCAGTATAGGTCAATTCGATATGTGGTTATCAGGACTCATGGCAATTGATATTGACCAAAGAGGAGGTGCTATTATTTCCTGGGTCTGAGGTCAATATCAATTGCCACAGTTCTTATAACCACATACTGAACGTTCACTGAATCCATAATAGTTATATTATATAATCACTCAAAGTGATTACACTGACACAGTCCTAGCCAAAACAGAGAGGCTGTCATTATGACACAATGGTTAAAAACATGGTTCTTATTTGAAATGTCACGTTTTACATAACTTCAGTGCAATCGTATGCTGTGTCGTGCGATATCATTTTCCACCGACACACTTTGGCGTCGATAACAAAAGGAGGAATATCGAGTGATGTCCAAAAACCAATGAAAATAAAAAAAAATCTTCTTATATAATATTATTAGTTATGTTCATTGGTAATTATGTAATGCATCATATATTTGCTTGCCTTCACATCAAAAGGAATAAAAATAAGGTTATCGTATATCAATAGCTTTCAATAACAATGCTTAAATACTAATTAACTGCCAAAGTGTCAATATCCCTTTAAAAATAAATATTAATTCAAGACTGTGCTTTCATTTCCAAAAGAAATGTTTGCATTATCAAGTATAAGTTGGGTTTCTAATGAATTCTTTTATCTGCCAGGTGTAAAGACCTACCCAATCCTTCTAACCATCAACTGTAAACATCTACCTAATCCTTCTCACCATGTCATCTGTAAACACCTACTTAATCCCTCTAACCCTATTAGCTTTATTAATAAACACTTACCTGATTCTTCTAACCATGTCAGCTGTAAACACCTACCCAATCCTTCTAACCATGTCAGCTGAACACCAATTTAATCCATCAACCATGTCTGCTGTAAACACCAAAGTGATTAACCCTTCTAACCATGTCAGCTGTAAACAGACTTGGCTGTCCTTACTACCATGTCAGCTGTAAAAACCTGATTCTTCTAACCATGTCAGCTGTAAACACCTACCCAATCCTTCTAACCATGTCAGCTGTAAACACCCACCTAATCCTTTTCACCATGTCAGCTGTAAACATCAATTTAATCCTTCTAACCATGTCAGCTGTAAACACCTACTTAATCCTTCTTACCATGTCAGCTGTAAACAGCCACCTAATCCTTCTAACCATGTCATCTGTAAACACCTATTTGCTTCCTTCAAATCAAAAGTAAACAACAATTTAATCCTTCTAACCATGTCAGCTATAAACCCTACTTAATCCTTCTAACCATGTCAGCTTTTTTAATAAACACTTACCTGATTCTTCTAACCATGTCAGCTGTAAACACCTACCCAATCCTTCTAAACATTTCAGCTGTAAACGCCCACCCAATCCTTCTAACCAAGTCAGCTGTAAACACCTACCCAATCCTTCTAACCATGTCAGCTGTAAACACCCAACTTATCCTTTTCACCATGTCAGCTGTAAACACCAACTTAATCCTCTCTAAATAAACAACTACTCTTCTAACCATGTCAGCTATAAACACCTACTTAATCCTTTTAACCATGTCAGCTGTAAACACCTAACCATGTCAGCTGTAAACACCAATTTAATCCTTCTAACCATGTCAGCTGTAAACACCTACTTAATCCTTCTTACCATGTCAGCTATAAACACCTACTTAATCCTTCTAACCATGTCAGCTGTAAACACCTACCTAATCCCTGTTACCATGTCAGCTATAAACACTTACCTAATACCTCTAAGGCCATAATAAAAATATTGTAACACGATTTTAAACCCCCGCCTCGATTTTTTTTATTTCTGTTTTTTTAATAATTCTGATCGGGATCGGTATTCATCTAACCACTTTCGTTGTGACAGCTGAAAAGATGGTAATTGCTGTAATACACGCGTATATATTTTAAACAAGGGTCATTGGTTGAAAAGATTGGTGATGATGTGAAGTAAGTGATAATGGAACCTTTACTATGAATTTTATTCTGGTATTGTAGATAAAATTACACCGATTGACTAGGTCAATAAAAAATGTCAGCTGTAAAAGCCGCCCGCCCGCCCCGATTTTTAAAAAAATTCGGATGAGAATCTAGCAATTTATTTATTATGGCCTAACCATGTCATCTGTAAACACCTATCCATTCCTTCTAACCATGTCAGCTGTAAATACCTAATTGATCCTTCTGACTATGTCAGTTTTAATTACTTACCTAATTCTTCTGACCATGTCCTTTATCTTCTCATAATGTCAGCTGTAAACACCTACCTACTGATCTTCTAACCATGTCAGCTATAAACACCTACTTAATCCTTCTAACCATGTCAGCTATAAACATCTACAGTGGACCCTCATGTCAGCTGTAAACGGATATCTGAATCACCAGTTAAACAAGACTGAATAACATTTAAAAATTTCGTTCCGATGTAAAATCGTCCGGATACTGAAGCATCCGGATATCTGGCGTCCGGATACCTGAAGGTCCACTGTACTTAATTCTCCTCACCATGTCAGCTGTAAACATCTACCCAATCCTTCTGACCATGTCAGCTATAAACACTTACCTGATTCTTCTAACCATGTCAGTTGCACCTACCTGATCCTTCTAACCATGTCCTTTATCTTCTGATCATGTAAACACCCACCTGATTCCTCTGACCATGTCAGCTGTTAATGTACACCTACCTGATTCTTCTGATGATGTCCTTGCACTATTGGCCATCCTCCTTATGTCGTCTGTCTCTCTGTTGTCCTCTTTTGTCTCCTTGTTACCTTAAAATAATAAAACCAAGCACTATAGCAGTAATCCATTGATAAACAAAAATATTTCATATCAATAGCCAGTCATAGACAAGAATGCAGTGAAATAACTTACTATATACAGATTTTAATTTTATTTTCTATCTTTTCACACCTTTGAAATTTTTATCAGTTTGAGTTGAGAAAAGGGTAAAAATACCATATATCTGGAAAATTTTACATGAATTTACATGGGTCAAAAGGCTGTTGATTAATTTTTATGTTTCCAACTTTTACACTAAAATTAACAAGAAGTCTGTGAGCCAATGCTCACTAGTAATACCCCTGCTCTGATGTGAATATACACTATCATGTTAATATACACAAGTTTAGTTACGGGCAGATGCACAGATAAATAGGAAGTTGACATCAGATTCATATACATAAAGATAAATCCCATCATATGGCATGCCTCAACAAAGTATGTGCTAAAATTTCAAGGATCTGTAAAGAGTAGATGCTGAGAAAACTGCGACAAAAAATTGTTATGTATGAAACGGACAGATGCATGGACAAACAGGAAGTTGCCCATCATATGGCATGCCTCAAGGAAAATTATATTAAAATTTCAAGCATCTGCGATAAGTAGTTGCTGAGAAAACTGTGATGAGAATTTCTTACGGACAGACAGACAGACAGACAGACAGACACACAAGTGTAAAGCAGTATACCCCCCTCTCCTTGGGAGCGGGGGTATAAAAAATGCTGATGACCTATATTTTCATTACAGTTGTAAGTTACGCATATACAATTTGTAGTGCCAGGAGTTTGTTGTTAGATAAAACAAACTGGCTCTTCCTCTTGGAGACATTCCCTGTGTAGCGCAGTGGTTAGAGCTTGCTCTAGAGTCGTTAAGTGAGGAGTCGATACTTATGTCGCGGGTTTGAATCCCACTATGGGACGTGGAGACCGGTCCTTCAGATGAGACCGTATAAACCAAGGTCCCGTGTCGCAGTAGGTGCTGGCACGAAAAAGATCTCTCACTGCTCAATGGCTCTGAGTGCCGAGTATAGGACAAAAATTAGTAGATCTCCTACGGCAAATGGTGGCATCTCCATATGAGTGAAAAATTCTTGAGAGAGACGTTAAACAACATGCAATCAATCTTCTTGGAGATATAATTTAAAAGAGACATACTGGCTGTCAAATCATCTCAAAACACAAATTATCACAGGTAATTAGCTTGCAGTATAAACAGGTTTCTTAAAATGACCACTGCTTTGTTTTCATTTGTTGTTGGGCCAAAAAAAAATACCTTTGTTTCCCTTATGCTACCAATCCAATTAAATCATGCCAACTGAAAAGTTTTTTTAAATAAGATGATTCAAATATTTTTCTTTAGTGTTCACCAAGTTTTATAAAATACGATTTCATCAAAATCAGTTTTTATCAGAACGGCCGAAATTGTTCTACTGTGATTTTCAAGAATTTGTTGGAAACAAAATGGCGCCCAGATGTGATTAAAGAGAATTAGTTCTTCATAAAACAACAGCGACGTCACAATCTTATGCCCTTTAGAATTCTCCACTCTGAAACAATTCAATAATAAAATTTACCATAACTATTTAAGGTCAGACAACATGTTCCTCAAAAATATATAATTTTTCCTAAGAACTTGCCATTGAAGTATAGGTACTTAAAAAGTTTCCTCATAAAAAATTAGGGTACCTTACCAGGCATTTGGCCAAGATACCATAAGGTCATATTTCTTATATAACCCTTACAGGTAATCTTCTAAATGGCCTATAGCACAATTTTTAGTGAACTTCTATTTAAAAAACATTTTGAAAGCAATGTAGAAATCAGAAGAAAATGACAAATATGAATAATTTTTAATATAATACCAAGAGATACAAAACATAATTTTTATATTTGAGGAACATGTCGTCTTACCTTAAGAGTGTTTTGACGGTGTCTTGGAGTCTCCATGTGAGTAAATAAATTTTTGAAAGGGACGTTCAACAACAAACAAACAAACCTGTCTGTTGAATTTTAGGTACGTGATACATGGTAAGGCCCGCCTCATGAGCAGATGAGGGGCCCACCTAGTGAATACATCATCCAATTTCACTGCATATCATTTAATTTTAGTTTTGATCTAATAACCAGTTTATCTATGTTTCTATGCCATTATGGACCATAGGAGTTGTTGTAAGTATGTCTGCCTATTCATCCTGATATAATATATAATTCAGCTGTCCTTTCTTCATACCTTTATTTATGGGTTAAACTTCGTGACTATGACATTGTATATAGCATTTTTAACATTTGTAGATTCGGTTTGGTACAATTAAATATTGTTTACACAGTTTCCTAATAGTTTTGAAATGATTCAGCTTCCTGAGACGTCCAGTGTATTTTTCTTTACTTTGGCCCTTGAAGATTTTTTGTTTAGGCTACAAAAAATTCACCAATTGTGGTTTTTATGATAAATACTTGTACTCCTGAACCTTCTACTGCATTCATATCAATTTCCTGGCCCTGTTGTTCTTCAAAGCAATATTTTCATGAGTTTACCTGTATTCTCTGTGTGTATAAATATTATTGAAAGTAAAAATTTTGAAGAGTTTTTCCTACACTGTGTTTGTGTATAATTATTTTACCTGTTGAGGTTTTCTTTCTACTGCTAAACAGTCCAAACAATCCTCCAGCTGTTGTACCAATCAGAGCATTTGTCGTGGCAGATATCCCAGCAGCCCCCGCTGACTGTAGGGCTGCAATCCAGCCTCCCGCGCTGGCCGCCGCCACACCACCACCATTAGCAATGGCTGCCATGGACATCAGACGAGCAGCCAGAGAACCTGCCACAATACCACCACTGGAGAAACCTGCAGCAGACAGAGCTATCGGTGCGGCCGCCACGGCTAGGCCACCCACCACCACACTCCCCGCTATCACCTTAGTGTAATGCCTCAGACTCTCTGTAACCAGCATTTATATACCGTGAACAGAGATATTGTGATTGGTGACCAGTGAGCAGTCAATTCAATTCAATTCATTTATTGACAACACCATCATACATTGGCATATAGTCATGAATACAACAATTAACATACATAAAATAAAATATCAAAGAAAGCATATCAGGTTTGTTGAAGGTTTTCTTTCCTAATATCAAAGCACTTTTTCAAAAAGTTACAAACTCTCCTAGCAGTTCTAATACTTGTAGGATTGATAATGTCAATAATAGGGTTTTCCTTCATGTAACATTGTGCATTGAATATATCGTAATATTGTAATCTACATTGATCATAACTAGGACAATAAAGTACAAAATGGTTTTCATTTTCAATAAAAAATTTACAAAAATGACATACACGTTTTTCTCTAGGAATAGGTGGCCTTGAGTATCTCCCCATTTCAATATGTAAGGTATGAGCACTAATTCTTAGTTTTGTTAGGATTGTCCTTTCAGATTTCTTCAATGGTAATTCTAGATAGTTTTGTAATTTATATTCATTTAAATCAATAATTATTATATTACTATAAAAAGTTAATTTCCCAGAATTTGATTTAGAAATGTTCTTTAATTGCATGTTCACTGATCTTGATTCTATAATGTTCCTCTAATTTATATTTAAAAGTTTTATGTGATATGTCCAATGAGGGTAAAGACAATTTCTGTTGTAGAGTATAAAGCTTTCTTTGCCAAGATATTCTAGATTCCAGTGTTTTATCTTCCTTAAATGCAGACACCACTAACTGGTCATTATAATCATTTTCTCTCTCTAAGTTTTTCAGTCTTAAATAAAATTTATACATATTTTCATAACACAAATAAAATAGTGGGAACTGTCCCAACTCATATAGAACAGCAATATTAGATGATTTTCTATGAACACCTAAAATGTCTTTAAAAATCTGGTGTTGTATTTTTTCAAATGGAAAGTGATCTGAGGATAATAAATCACATTTGTAGTCTGCTATCCAGATTTCAGAACCATAAGTTAAGATTGGAGTAATCATAGATCTATAAAGTTTAAGCAGTCAAGGATAGGTGGAGATTTTTCCCTTGACTTTAATGCTTTACTCCTCACTATTCACTGAGATATTAACAGTAGTACCTTACTGTTGAAAATGTTCACTGAAATAGTGTCCCCCACAAATTTTGTTAAAGTAAAGGTTTTTTTTTGCTGTAGTATAAAATTATGAATAACAGTTGCTGATGATAAGAGAGGTAACTCAAAAAGAAAGAAGACTTGTCTGAGTCTTCTTTCTATTCATATTCAGCCAAAATATCAAGATTTCACAATATTAAATGTATATGTATTTCATGTACCGGTAATACATTAACTTTATGAAATCAAATAGTTTGAGAGAAATCTTTAAGGTGAGAAAAAATTAGGCCTAAGATGTTTTTGATCACCATTTTATATATGGAATGCATTGACAAATGTATATAAAAAACATTGAATTGAAGAGGAGGGGTGACTTGGTGAGTTAAACAAGACAGAATATAAAATTTCTGCTCAAGAGTTCTTGAAAAATTCTACTGGATAGCTAGGAATTCCCCAATGTCCTTAAATGTCTTACACAAGGAATAGCCAATCAAAATGATATCAAGTATACATGTAATTCTATATATTTAGAGACAGTTTCTTTTATTTTTTCATTCCTGTCAGAGAGCTAAAATATTAGGTTTACAGTATTAATTTTGGTCTTGAATTCTAAAAGTATTAAAACATGAGTGGAATTGTCTCATTAAATAACAAGAGGCCCACGGGCCTTATAGGTCACCTGAGAATTGTGCAACAACTTTCAAACAATTCAATTTGGTTCGTGTTTTAAACTAGAGGCCATGAAATTCACAATTCACAATTTTGAAAGAGGCAACATTGCTTATCATAATTATAGACTTAGCATGCTTACTCTATTTACTCAATACCAAGAGGTAGATAAGAGTAACATTAAGAGAAAATGCACTTCCACTTTATAACCAGTTGTGCACCTCATCCCAAAGAAACCACTGAACCTGGGGCCACATATTTCAAAATTTTATCATAAAATGGTTGATTAATACCAAAGAGCAGATTTCAAAGCATTAATTTATTTTCAGACTTTGTACCCCCCCCCCCCCCCCCCCACCCAGGGGGGGGGGGCATAAAAAATAACCATTTTGCTAGATGCACCTTTCTTCATCATAAATATATATCATTGGATCAATGGCATAAAACCCAGGAGCAAAGGAAAGATTTTCAAAGAATTAATGTATTTTCACTATATAATCAATAGAGCCCCGCCCTAACACCACAACCCCTGACCCTGGGGCCATAAAATTCACAATTTTGGAAGAGGCACTCTTGATCAACATAACTATTTACTTACATAGTTTATTTAATACCCAGACACAGAGAAGAAGATTTTCAAAGAATTAATGCATTTTCACTATATGATCAATAGAGCCCCCCTAACACCAGAAACCCTGACCCTGGGGCCCTAAAATTCACAATTTTGGCAGAGGCACTCTTGCTCATCATAACTATGTGCTTGGTTAGTTTATTTAATAAAATTCACAATTTTGAAAGAGGCACTCTTGCTCATCATAACTATTTACTTACATAGTTTATTTAATACACAGGAGCAGAAAAGAAGATTTTCAAAGAATTAATGCATTTTCACTATATAATCAATAGGGCCCCACCCTAACACCAGAACCCCTGACCCTGGGGCCACAAAATTCACAATTTCGGAAGAGGCACTCTTGCTCATCATAACTATTTACTTACATAGTTTATTTAATACCCAGAAGTAGAAGAGAAGATTTTCAAAAAATAAATGCATTTTCACTATATAACCAATAGAGCCCCGCCCTAACACTGGAACCCCTGACCCTGGGGTCATAAAATTCACAATTTTGGAAGAGGCACTCTTGCTCATCATAACTATGTGCTTGGTTAGTTTATTTAATACCCAGGAGCAGAGAAGAAGATTTTCAAAGAAATCATGCATTTTCACTGTATAATAAATAGGGCCCCGCCCTAGCACTAGAACCCCTGACCCTGGGGCCATGAATTTCACAATTTTGGTAGAGGACTCAATGCTCATTGCATTCATGCCAACAGTTTGCCTGCTTGATGTCCAGGAGTAAAGAAGATGATTTTTAAAGATTGCAATAATTTTAGTGGTTTTGGCCCCACCCCTCAGGCCTCAGGGGGGCGGGGACCATAAAATTCACAATTTTTGTTCCCCTTTACCCATAGATGCTTTGTGCCAAAATTGGTTGAAATTGGTTGAGTGGTTTCAGAGAAGAAGCAGAAAATGTTCAAATGTTAACACACGATGCACAACACACGACGACGGACGAAAAGGATAGCAATAGGTCACCTGAGTTACTCAGGTGCAGGGATGGGGTCAATTACATAGGAAAGTAATTAATTAAATTACATTTACTTTCCCAAAACCTTCAATTAAATTACCATTACCATTACATGGATTTTGAAATGTAATTAATTAAATTACAATTACTTTGCAAATGTAATTAATTAAATTACACATTACATTCAAGAAAACGTGTATAAATTATAACGGAAATAGTCATGTACATTCCTTTATTTTTATATCAGATTATTTTACGACATTTTTTTTTTACAATGATATTATTAAAAAATGTTCATACAATTTTCAATTACTGTATATCCTAATCTACATCTATTAGATTTGAAGATTTTTCTGCCACACTGAAGATTTTGTCCACTGGGGTATTTGTGACAGGAATACATAGATCTATACTGACTAGTAGAAAGTTTACTCATGTTTTTACCTTAATTCATACGTTGAAAAATTTGGAATCATGGAACATTCGATTAAATTTATGTTGAAAGTGCAATTGATGCTTTTTGCATCAATACTTCCTTATTTCAACAACATATTAAGATATTCTCAAAATGTTGGTATTTGACTTATTCTGTGCCAAACTACAATTTAAAGTCATAGTGTGTGTATAAAAACACCAAGAGACAAGGTCAAAACGTGTGAAAAATATATCTATAATTAAGGAATATGTATATGACCCCCGGGCACTAATTAGCACCTGATAATAATTTCTAACACAAGCTGAAGATATTGCAAACAAGAGGATTAGAAGCCATTGGACTACTTATTTCGATGTGGATTAATTAATTAAAAAATCAAAATATAAATTTTAGGCCAAAAAAATAATAGTCTTGTTTCCTGCTACCAGCCAGAAAAAAATGGGGTAGGTAGGTAGGGAAATTATTTTATTTTTATTTTTTATTTTATTTTTTTCTGGCGGTGTTTCTTTGGATATGTTCTAATACAAGATCAAATTAAACATGCCATATGTCAATATTGCCTTTTAAAATTGAATTTCATGTCTTTTGATGCACAACTCAAGTGGTACTTTAAGAAAGTCCTTATTTAAAACATAGAATTTTATGAAATACCACTTGAATATATATTTTTTTTCAGTTTTCGAACATGAAATTCCAAAAATTCCTGATCTTTTTTCCCAAAACTAAAAAAAAACTTAAGGGTCGGCTGCAAAAAAATAGGGTAGGTCGGGTAGCAGGAAACAAGACTATTTTTATTTTTGGCCTTATCTCTACACTTTACAAAGATTAATTTGATTTAAAAGTTCTTATTAAATAAAATAAAATAGGGGAATATTTAATTAACAATTTACTTAAAAAAGAAAATATGATTATGTTCAAATTCTTTTTAAGAAATTCTACTATCAGAATATTTGTTCCAAAAAACATTTCTTAAATAATGTTTATGAGATGGTTGGGGAGTGGGGGATTTTTCATTCATTTAAAATCAGAGTAATTGAATGTAATTGAAAAGTAATTGTGAATTACAGCCTTTTTGGAAAGTAATTATAAATTAAATTACCATTACTTTTAATTGAAAATTTGGCCAATTACACATTACTTTCCATTACATCAAAATTTGTAATTAATTACAGTCAATTACCATTACACATTACCATTACCACATCCCTGCTCAGGTGACGTAAAAAGGGCATCGGTGCCAGACAACTCACCGAAAGACAGGTCACCGACAAAAGTGAAATTCACCGAATGGACAATTCACCGACAATAGTCTCGGCGAGTAGAAATTCATATAATAATTGTTAGATGCATGTTGTGTTAAGTATTCAGATATAATAAGCTTAATCAAAGATGTATATAAAAAACATGTTTTTCTTTGTCTTTTTTGTATAATAATGATTGTTGGTCTTATGCATATGTATAGATTGCTTCTCGTGAAAACGAGCAAGGTCATAGGACGGCAATATTGGGTGAAGTTTTTGATTTAATAAAAAAAGATTTGAAATGAATAAAAACTCTTTTCACATACATGAATTTCTCTAAATATTTTTTTTTAATTTCCATGTTTTATATTTTCTGTCGATGATGTACACACATCTTTCGGTGACTTGTCGTATCGGCGAGTTTTATTGTGTCTGTGAAAAAAGTGTCGGCGAGTTGTCCTTCAGTGAGTTGTCTTTCGGTCACCTGTCATAGACCCAAAGGGCATTCTATTTTGAGTTTATATTGACAGTCACACATACTATTTCTATGGGTTGTTTCTTTATCCCTTTCCAGCTTCATGACATGGTTGTAGTAGTCCACCAGCTCTTCTTGATTCTCTTCAAAATTAGAGACGTAGTAATGAACAGAAATATCTCTTGTTTCAACATGACATGTATATCAACATCCTAATAAACATGATAAACACCTCTACATGTAAGCTAAAGGAAAGATGGAAATTACGCAGTAAGTAGTTCTACATGTATCATGGTTCCATTAAATCACACTAAGTCCTAAATGGTACATAGCCACTGAACAGATAATACTACTACCTTTACCAAAAATAAATTCCATTTTATTCAAATATTGACAGGCACTACTTTCAGTGAAAATAACAAGTAAACCTTTAAAGTGTTCATGTAAACTTTCCTGGATTAAAACTTACCTGACCTTCTGACTGTAAATGTTTATACTTTGTTTGATTGATTATTGTAGCTTAAATGACCATCTGACTATAAGTGTAACTTTTGGTGGATTTATAGCTTACCTGACCATCTGACTATAAGTGTAACTTTCCCTGGATTTATAGCTTACCTCACCTTCTGACTATAAGTGTAACTTTCGGTGGATTTATAGCTTACCTGACCTTCTGACTATAAGTGTAACTTTCCCTGGATTTATAGTTACCTGACCTTTTGACTATAAGTGTAACTTTCAGTGGATTTATAGCTTACCTGACCTTCTGACTATAAGTGTAACTTTCCCCGGACTTGTAGTTTACCTGATCTTCTGACTATAACTGCCCTGTGCATTTCATCTCCAACATAGTAACGAGCTAAACACTCCTGTTCCTCCCTCAGGTCAGCCTCTACACCACTCTGACCCGACGGATCCTCAATCTCCTCCAAAGGTATCGGGTGACTGAGAACATCCTCCTCCACATAAACCACCAACACCCATCCTACAATCAAAAGGTATCAGGTCATACTCCATTAAAACCCTGCCCACAAACAACAGGTATTGGGTCATATTCCACTAAAACCCAGCCTACGATCAAAGCATACTGTAGGTCACCAAATTTTTGTGACAGCTAACTTTTGCATGATGGTCACTTGGTATTTATGAAAATGACCCAATATTAACAAATTCCGGTAATGGATTTATAATTTTTTTTAAAATTCATATAATTTAATTCTGGTTGTAACGCTGTATTTGATTGGATAAAAAATTTACTTTATATTGTATAAAATGGGTTGCCTACATCACAATGACTTGCGTCAAAAACGTATCAATCCGCCTGTCATTACATTCAAATTTTGTACAAACTGAAGTCATTTTGTTAGAACAATCATCTTTTTTTCTTACATCAAATGAATGAAAATTAAATTATAAGCAATTAATAGCTACCCATTTTATACGGTATAAACTGGTTGGAACAGTTCACGCTTTTTTATAAACCGCTTCGTGGTTTATAAAGCGTAAACTGCACCAACCCAGTTTATAACGTATAAAATGGGTAGCTATTAAATTCATTCCTTAAATAGAAGTGTATAGACAAGAATTTAATTTTCATGAGTTGAATGTATGGAAATAAATTATCAAGTTCTCAAACTCACAGGTCTGAGGTCATGTGCTACCCATATTAATCTATGTTTCATCACACTTTGATTGTTTAGAAAGAAACTAACAGATATTTCTATATTTCTGTGAATGGCTGGAAAGCACTGCTTGTCATTGCAAGCTCTAATGAATACGCCTTGGCAAAGAGAAAATTTGGAATTGCACATTGATCCAAACAAATTTTTCTGTGGTTATTTCTAGAATCACAATGCATGGTTTGTTTAAGCTATCTTTGCGGGAAAACTGTAGATGTACTTTTTTCCACGGGGTCATAATTCCACGGAATCTCAATTTCCGTTAAATCCACAGGTTGAAAATTACGCGGATTTCTCAAACTATTACTATATGCCTTGCATTTATCATGTTTGGACAAATTTCTGCGGAAAATTTGTGACCGGGTACATAGCGTAAATTAATACCATGTGGAAAAAAGTACTTCTACAGTAACAAAAAAAGTTAAACAAAATTTAATTCATCTTGATTTAATTGATATATTGCAGAGAATAGTAAACAAAATGTTTGTCATTAAAAATCAGTACTGCTCAGGCTATTGTTTGATTTGGTAATACAACTAACTTATGATGCATGCGACGTTGGAGTCTAGGCGTACCAAAAATCACATGGGTTTTGATGAGTCAGATCTAAATTAAATCTAATAAGTATCTGCACTTACCCTAAGGGTCGCACTGTCAACATATTATCAGGGATCTATATCTGTATACTTACATACGTCCCTGATATTACTATATGTTTAAAAAAAATTATTTTGAAAAAGTGCCTGTTTTAGACATGGGTCCTAATAAATCTCTTGCAAGTTTGGTTGATTGATGTCGCTAATTTTCACACGTCATGGTTACAAAATTTAACCCACGCATCAAAGGATTAAAAAACCATATTTTAAAGTACTTGAATATTTTGGAAGCAGACCCAACATGCAAAGATTTATTCAAATCAGAACCTATCATTGCATACAGTAAGCATAAAAACATAGGAGATCTATTGATAAAATCAAGTTTAAAATAAACAGGGAATATCATTATTGGGGCCCCTGATGAGGCATAATTTGTAGCCGAAACACTCTACTACTACCATTATAACTATAATTTTCATCATAACAATATCATCCTAATTCATTCAATGTGGTTTTGAGTGTCGGGTCCCAATAACTCATTATCAAGTCTGGTTG